AGGATTTATATATTTGAACACATAAGGATACTTTTTTCCTGAGAAGCTACCAAATCTAGATCAAATTAAATGGTATAAGATTTTCAAATGATAAATTATGGAAAAGTGTAAAACTAACTATTGTATTTTATTGTAACGATCAGTTGGTGGTTGGAGGTAATCGACAAGAAACCCTAGACCATAGGTTTTGTGCTGCTTAGCACTTGTCAGCAAGGTGGGCCTGTAATCTTTAGGGAACTGATGTACCCTGGAGAATTGGATGCCGTGTCACCCAGCTTCACAGTCAGGGGCGTTATCATTAAGATATTCGGGCATTACTGACCTGTGGTAAGAGAGATGTATTTACAATCGACTGGTTACTGAGTAGTGACCAATTTGTCACTAGCAGTAATCTTTAACGCATCTTTTGTGTTGACACTTTACAATAAAATGATCATTAAGACAAGATTTATAGTGGGATCCAAGCATATTGAAGGGTATCTTTGTAGAAAGATATTAGGAATATATCAGAAATATACAAATATACACTTTAGCAGCTCTGTACATGAAGTCACAAAAAAGCCTAATCAAAACTCTACGGAGACCAAGTAGAGAAACCTATGTCAAAATGTTTACTTTCCAGAGACATCTGTGTACCGACAGTTGGTCAAGCAAATAAATAAATGACCGAAATAATGAAACGAAGTATACTTGAGTGAAAACAATATCTTTTTTAAAATTAATCGTAAGGATGAGTAAATTTCCGACAGAATCAAACACAAACTAAGTAATTCACTGAGAGGAGCTAGTCGCTAACTGCTTATTTTCAACTGTATTCCTTATATCACACTTACCCTAATAGTAATTGACAGACAAATAATTTTAATTTAAGCTCTTAGCACATTTAGGGAAAAAATGCAATCAAGAATCATAAACATATCTTCAGAAACACGATTCCTAATCCCAGATTACGAACTATCTGGATCCATATGAAAGGTATCTGTCTGATAATTTAGAATTATTTTATAATCCCCCTTTCAACTTATAATATTATTTTCCAAGATAGTATACTCCTCTTCCTATTTTCTGGCATTCATTTAGTTCAAGATGTTGTTCTCCATTTCTAAAAATCTATCCCTATCAGTTACACAGTTTTTCTTTCTTATTTTTAATGTTTATGATATTATCCTATTAATTTGCGAATCTGTAGCTCAGCGATCCACGTGTATTTAACTTTCAAGCATTAGATATAAGGGTTGGGTTCTTCTTCACTTTAATTATTTTAGTTATCAGACGATATTATACAAGAAATCTAACCTAAGGTATATTAAACAAACCAATAATAGGTAGTTGAGTTGTATTTTATAATAAACATATGGTGATGTAAAAGGCTGATATTATAAGTGAGAGTATAGTCACTGATTATCATTCGAATACATGTTTTTACCTAATAAGTGTAATTCATAATATAAGCTTCAAAACAATCATATGAAAGTTTCTTCCTCCAAAATTTCGAATTACGGTGAGTTTTTATAGCCAGTGACATTATCACAAAAGCAGAATGTCTTACCTATGGTAGAGTGTGAAACAATCATCATTACACATTGTTAATCAGTTTCATGAATCTTAGTGAATGTATATCCAGTACAAATGTCTTTTGGATTACATTTGAAGTATATTCAATAATTAATGATTATGAAATAACATCAGACAGAAATTGATGAACAGTAATATTATAATCACAACTTACAAAATTAGCAGCACTTCTGTGCAAAGAACATGCCTGAAGTCGTTTAAGTAATGGAACACCACGTCTAAACTCTCTTTTGAGTTTCCAAAATGCATAAGTTTGCTTTAAAAACTCCATTTTATCCCCTGATACACCAGATAATTTGGATAGAATAAGCTGAAAACAGGAGCCAACAGAAATTTAGAAAATACCTGTAAAAGGCTAAGGTATTCTAGGAATATAACATATATGCAATAACTAAGCCAGATAATTTTCAATGGTAGTGAAAACTGATGAAATCTGAAAGTTGGGTGTTGTTCTGTTCACAATTTATGCAAATAACAGTTCGTAAACTTCCAGACATTAAAACCTAGTTTCTATCTACAAAGTCAACGAATAATCATCATCACTTAGTAATAACATGCTGTGCAATGAATCAGAACTATAGAGGAAATCAGGCAATAATAACAGTATCCTGCTGCATGATATCATTAACTGTGAAGTCGTTTCAGTCGACTATAGATCTAATATAAAAGTGTACACATTCATGTTATTGGACCATATTGTAATACATCAGATGGAATAGCTAGATATGCAAGTGAAGAGTTGATAAACGTATTCAATTAAGCGTTAGAAGATAACTCTGGTCAGTTTAGAGCAATATTCGTGAATGCTTTTGTCAATTGTGGCACTTAATAAACCTAGAAACATGTGCATATTTAGTAAACACCATCCTTCACGCTAGAATCAGTCAGTCAGTCAGCTACAACGTAGGACCAGGCACATATGTGCATCGGTCCAGGTTGCCATACCGCATCAGCACAAGATGAACACCGGATTCATAGAAGTGGTTAGGTCAAAGGTGGTAATAAATAAGAGAAAGATTGCATATAGAGATATAGTACAAGAAGAAAGAATTGGTTCGTAGAAAGAAAGATATGAAGCGATTTTAATCTCTTAGTTTAAGGGAAGACAGGGAGTGTATACACCGACGCCATTGTGATCGATTCTGAGCCATGTCACCAAGAGTCTCCAACCATTGGTTACGAAAGTCACGCGGACCCCAACCAAGTAGTCTGCATCTACCAACATGGCTCAGACTAGAAGTTAGTGACTTCAAGCACTGATGCCACGTTTTGGTTTGGCCGCCCCTAACTTTCTTCCAACCATCTCCAATACCGGATAGCATTGCACGTCGTGGTAATCGGTGTTCAGGCATACGTAACACGTGGCCCAACCATCTCAGTCGATGAAGATTCATAACCTCATCAACTGATTTACCATCATTCCCTAATACCCTGCGTCTAACCTCACTATTACTTACCCGGTGATCCCAGCAGACGCCAGCAATATTTCTAAGGCATCTGTGGTCAAATACTAGTAGCTTACGAGTGTCTTCTACTCTTAATGGCCATGTTTCGCTGCCGTAAATTAAAACAGAACGGACTGCCGCGCAGTATACTCGTCCTTTTATTGATAGACGGATATCTCGCCTTCGCCACAGGTGACGTAAGTTGGCAAAAGCCAAACGAGCTTTTCGAATCCGTGCTGAGATTTCGTCAGACACCAACCCATTAGGGCTGATCAGACTTCCAAGATAAGTGAAGTTGTCAACGCGTTCGACTACTTCACTCCCTATCCTTAGTTCAGGTGTTGACGCAGACCAGTCCTGAAGCAACAACTTGCATTTAGAGGGAGAGAAGCGCATTCCAAACATTCTGGCATTGTTGCTTAGTGCTACCAAAAGACTCTGCATTTTGTCAGCGTCTTCACCAAACAGGACTATGTCATCTGCGTATTCTAAGTCGATAAGTGGACCTCCTGGATGGAGATCAATACCCGAGAACTCAGTCGACGAGAAAGTTATTTCCATCAGTAGATCTATGATGAAGTTAAACAAAAATGGGGAAAGTGGACAGCCTTGACGGACACCACTTGAGGTTGCAAAAGTAGATGACAGTTCGCCATAAGCTCTGACTCGACTAGTAGTGTTCGAGTAAAGAGCCTTTACAAGGTTTATGTACTTCTGGGGTACGCCTTTCAATGACAGACACTGCCACAGAATCTCACGGTCTACCGAGTCAAATGCTGCTTTTAAGTCAAGAAAGACCACCATTGTCGGACGCCGATAAGTATGCCTGTGTTCTAGAATCTGACGAATGGTGAATATGTGGTCGATGCAGCCACGACCAGGTCTGAAGCCAGCTTGAGTCTCTCGTGTTTGCAGTTCACGAGTCTTAGTTAGGCGTCTGATAATTATCTAAGCTAGTATTTTAGATATTATATTACTTAAACCAATCCCTCTGTGGATGTCACAGGATGATTTTGACCCTTTCTTATATATTGATACGATAAGTGATTGTGAGCAGTTAGATGGGATAACGTCTAACTCCCAGATCTTAGCTAAAATATTAGTCAACCTAATCGCTAAAATTGGACCACCATCCTTAAAGACCTCTGGAGCCAGTCCATCTGGACCAGCTGCCCTTCCTCGCTTCAGATTAACTATAGCCTTTTGAACTTCAGCAAGAGTTGGGGGACCTACTTCAATGTTCCATTCACACTGTCTGCGAATGGAGGGTAGTTGTAGAGTAGCTGAAGGCCAGCTGAACTGTTCTCTGAAATGTTCCGCCCATCGTTCTAAACGTCTGGACTGGGAGCAGATGGGGGTATCGTCTTTTTCCGAAATAATCTCACTTACACTTGACTTATTAATTCCAGTTTCTTTTATTAGTCTGTACAGCTGTCTTGTGCAGACGGTCACCATTATCTGTTCGCTGTGCCGGAATGCTGAAATATCCACCTAAATGCCTTTCTGTTTGGTTTAAGCTACCTATCTGAGCATTAAAGTCACCCCCTATGAGTACTATGTCTGAGCGTTTAGCTTTCTGAAGAAGTTCAGAAAGCTTTCTGTAAAATTCATCTTTCACATCATCTGAGCTGCAGTCAGTGGGAGCGTAGGCAGAAACGACGAAAAGGCAACGACGTGTGTCCCTATCCTTCCGAGTTCTTACGGAGCCGTTTAGCCGAACAGCACATAGACGACTGTTGACGGGGATCCACTCTAACAGTGCTTGTTCCGCCCTCATGCTTAGTGCTATGCCTACACCTGCCAGTCCACGAGAACTGGCCATCGGGTCACCAGATACACGTAGGGTGTATCTCGTTGGCTCTCCGTTTTGCCGAGGTGAGGTCAAGTGAATGACCACACTGGAATCCTGTATGCGTGTTTCGGAGACACAGCATACATCAATGGAAAGAGACTCTAGGGTTTTAGCCAAGGAAGCCTGCTGACCGATTTGACATAGGGTGCGTACGTTGAAGGCTCCAATGTGTAGTTTGGAGCGAGGTTTCAGTAGACCTGGGACAGAGTTTTGAGCACTAGGATCGTTGGCTATGGTGACACTTCAGGAGGAAGCCGAAGGAGGAAGTTTAGGGTTGAAAGTCGATGTAGGAGGAATAATAGGAATTGAAGAGGAAGGTTGATTATGAATACAGTGGTCTTGGGTGCTCTCAGAGGTATGAGGGCGGTCATCACTTCCCGGTTGCCCACACCGTGGAAAAGTTCTTCTGGAGGTACCTGAAAAGGAAATTGGATTAGAGGTGGTCTCAGTGACCTGAGAGCGTGACCGCAGTGCCCAAGGGACAACTGCTTGAGGCCGGTCGCGCACGGCCTTTTCGTGGGAGGTTTTTGACGTGTTAGCTCCATTCTTCAAAGGGCCTTACCGCCAGGGACGGTAATCCGTGAGGTAAGGTGAGGTGTGCATTTTTAGGGTCGACCTTTTCTAACCCCACCCCTCCTTGTGAGAAGGCAGCATCGCTGCAGATGCTGGTTGTCCGAGAGAAACAACTTGCCGCTGCTGTCACACCCCTCTACAGTCAGCAGTACGACTTCGCCTTCGAACCTTGGGTTTGTTGCTTTTAGTCTTACCGCTCTTCAACCGACCTGTCTGACATGGTAGGACCTTGAGGAACGGTTGTTCCAGCCAGTATAGCTCGGTTGCTTCATCACGATAGGCAAGCCCGACAACCACGTCAAGGTAGCAACAACGGTCGGGTTCACGCTAGAATAGTATTAGATAGATGATCAAATCTAATGGTGCTCTAAGTCTGACTGTCCCCCCTTCAAAAAACTGGAACAACAGGAACATTTGACTCGACATAAAATCGCAGCTCTGTCAAACTGTACTCATTACGTTTATAATGACACTGAAATAGTTCCCAACTAATACTTAAGTTAGAGAGATAATTCAATATAAATACTGATACGATAAGACAGATATATGTTATTATATATATTCACAATAGCCCTTACATGTTTTTTATTTATGTAAGCTGGTTAGAGTCTGATTCTATTTCATTCATCAAAGTGAAGTAGGAGTAGTATAATAATTCTTCATACGACAGGCTTAGCTCCTAACACAATAAACAAACCTGATTGACATCATTTGATTATTATAATTAAAACACACTTTTTTGAAAAATACTTTGACCAACAACTCACATCTAGTTTTGCTTTAGATACAATGGGAACACAAACAGATGGTTTAGAATTTCTACGTTCGGCTAAAATTTTACGAGCTTTTCTGAGATGAATTCGAGCTGCTCGCTCAGGAGATTGAGGACCATCCGAATCAGAATGGGCGTACATTCCTTTATTTGAACTCTAAATATGATTATCCAAAACAAAAGTTGGAATAATAATAAAAATTTACTACAGTTAATAGAGTTGGAAATCTGAAAACAAATACGAATAGTGAGATAAAAGTCAATAGCTAGATTGCTTATTTTTGGTAGTAACAATTTAATTGGTGAATTAACGCGTTTACTTTTGTTCATTAATTTACGAAACAGTATAGTGGGGAATCGAGAAATAAATGGCAAAAAATGACTAACAGCTAGTGAAAGAAATGGTTCTAGTGAGAACATAATTGAAAAGGTTTTTAATCCATAAAATAACCCAGTACAATACTGCAACAAGATACTCATTCACTTTTACCTTGAATAATATCTGATAATGTCCGACATCAGAATCTTACTAACTCTAATACCTTATATTGGGAGTTTTAATGAACCACCACTTACCGAACACATTTGTTCTCTATTTCGATGCATCATGTAGCAGATTGATCAAGTCTTTCCCTTGGGGACGAAGTGCAATTTTTTAGGTCATATTCTGTTAGTGTATTTGTTTGTTAGTTTCTACTAACTTATTCGAACATAAAATAAATACTAAAAATCTATAAAACACCGACATCGCAGTCTTCTATTTACACCATGTAAAACTGTTTTACAGGAATTTCATAATCAAGCAAAATTCGAAATTATTGATCACTTCAAGTGTTCCAGTTAGTATATAAATCATCTATAAGACACGTTAGAGGTGAAATGCTATGCCATTACCATAATTACTATACCATTGAAGTAAATATATTATCAACATTATTATTTAGACATGTTCAGACTTACTTACCTAATACTCGTAAAATTAAATAAAAACTGTAAAACGCTAGTGATCTCAGTAAAGGGAATATTTAATTTACTAAAGATAATTATGCAATATGATTAAACTTAAAAGAAAGGTTAACACATCAATAATCATTACCAAAATTTACCATAAGACTATACATTCAATAGTCATTTATTCTACCGACCGTAGCTGCTACCTTGACGTGGTAGTCGGGCTTGCCTATCGTGTTGACCCAACCGAGCTATATTGGCTGGAATATATGTTCTTGTAGGTTCTACCATGCCAGACAGGTCGATTGGAGAACGGTAAGACTAAAAGCAAAGGGGCAAAGTCGTACTGCTGACTGTAGAAGGGTGTGACAGCAGTAAGGTGTTTCCCGCCGACAACCACCATCTGTGGAGATGCTACCTTCTCACAAGGAAGGAAGGGGTTAGAAAAGGTCGACGCTAGAAATGTCACGCCTCACCGTACCTCACGGATTTTCGTCTCCGGCGGTAAGGCCTTTGAAGAACGGAGCTAACACGTTTAGGCCTCAAGCAGTTGTCCCTTGGGCTCTGCGGTCAAGCTCCCAGGTCATTAAGGCCAACATTAATCCACCTTCTTTTTCAGGTTCCTCAAAAATACTCTTCCGGGAAGTGATATCAGCCCTCATACCCGTAACAGCACACGAGACCAAGTTGGTCACATTCAAATCCTTCCTACACCTCCTAATAACTCTCTTATCTCCACGACTAACCCTTCTCGCGTCCCTTTATCACCTCGCACCGCTAGTGCAAACGATCCGAGTACGCGGAATGATATTCCTGGTCTACTGAAACCACCCTCTAAACTACATGTAGGAGCTTTTAACATCCGAACACTGTGCTAAATAGGACAACAGGCTTCCTTAGCTAGGACTTTAAAATCTCGCGCCATCGATGTGTGCTGCGTCTCCGAAACGCGCATACAGGATCCGAGTAGCGTCATACATCTGACCTCACCACGTCAAAATAAAGAACCAACTCGATTCACGCTTCGTGTATCTGGAAGCCCTGATGCTGCTTCTCGTGGCCTCACCAGAGTAGGTATAGCATTGAGTCCTAGGGCAGAACTACCTCTCTTAGACTGGATCCCAGTAGACAGTCATGTGCGCTGTCCGACTAAACGGAACACCACGGACTCGAAAGGATAGGGACACTCGTCGTTGCCTCTTCGTCGTCTCTACCTACTCTCCCACTGACTGCAGCCCAGATGATGTAAAAGATGAGTTTTACACAAAGCTTTCCGACCTTCTCCGATAAGATAGGCGCTCTGATGTAGTAATAGTGGCTGGTGACTTTAATGCTCAAGTAGGTAAACTAAGAGTAAAGGAAAGACACCTGGGTGGATCTTATAGCGTCGTGGCACAAAGAACACATAATGGCAACCGTCTGTTGCAGCTATGTTCAGATAGCCGCCTTTTTATTGCAAACACTAACTTTAAGCATAAGGAAGAACATTCGTTCCAACGGTGGACCCAAATTACATTAACCTTGTAAAGGCTCTCTACTCGAACACAACTGGTAGAGTAAGAGCTTATGGCGAACTGTCATCAGAATTGAGTACCTCAAGTGGTGTTCGTCAGGGCTGTACACTCTCCCCATTCTTGTTCAACTTTGTCGTCGACGTACTTTTAGAGTTAACACTTTCCTCGTCTAAATTTCCAGGAGTTGAACTTCTACCGGGAGATCTACTTTTTACCTAGAATATGCAGATGACATAAATCTATTTGGTGAAGGCGCTGACAAAATGCAGTTTTCTGATTACTACATGAGCAACAATGCATGTTCGGGATGCGATTCTCTCCCTCGAAATGCAAAATGTTGCTTCAGGATTGGGTTGCATCGACACACAAACTAATGATAGGGAGTGAAGTAGTTGAGCGTGCCCACCGCTTCACTTATCTTGGAAGTCTCATCAGCCTTTGTGGTCTGGCGTGTGACAAAATCTCAGCACGGATACAGAAGGCTCGACTAGCTTTTGCCAACTTGCATCATTTATGGCGTAGGTGAGATATCCGTTAACCAACCGAAGGACGAGTTTACTGTGCAGCCGTTCGTTCCGTCCTACTTTATGGCAGTGAAACGTGGCCGTTGAGAGTAGAGGATATTCGTAGGTTACTAGTATTCAATCATAGGTGTCTTCGAAACATTGCTCGTATATCATGGGACCATCGAGTAAGTAACGCAGTTGTTAGGAAACGGGTACTAGGTAAGGATGGCAAACCAACTGATGAGGTAGTGAAACTTCATCAGTTGAGTTGGCTGGGACACGTGTTACGTATGCCCAACCACCGACTGCCCCGACGTGTGATGTTTTACAGTGTAGGAGTAGGTTGGAAGAAAGCTAGGGGCGGCCAGACCAAAACATGGCACAAGTCCATGAAGTCACTGACAAGTGAACTGAGTCATGTTGGCAGGTGTAGACTACCTGGTTGAGGACTGCAAGATGATAGCAACCGACGGTAAGAGACCTTGAGTGACATGGCTCAAAATCGTTTGCAATGGCACAGGTGAATACACTCTTTGTGTTCTCCCAAATTCTAATCTTCTGAATTCTTCATGTCCGTTTTTTTCCTCTTTCCAAATTTATTTCACTGTATTATACTCCTTGAATAACATCTCCCAACCCTAATCTTCCCGATTACTGCTTATACTCTTACTACATCTACCGCTACGGGATTTGAATGGACAACTGCATCACTGTGCTAATGTGGTATGGCAACTCGAACTGATGTACGTACGTACGAAATTCTACGTTGTTACTGACTGACTGACTATTCATTCAACTGAGCAGTATCAAGCTTACATTTAGGTTAATCAGTGTAATTAATGGTTATTCTATCATTTAGAAATTGTTTAATAATCTAGATCAAATGACTCTTCCCTAAAAGAATCACCTGAAGTTTGGTGACTATGGTCATCGTTATAATGGTAATCGATATTAATTCTAGACATATTTTTAAACACAGTACGAGTGAACTTACAGAAAAGTGATCCGGCGGACAATGTTGATCGCAAAACGCACTCTTTCGGATTCCTAGATCTCCAGGATCATCTGTATGCTCAATTTTCATATACAATCCAGCATGTTGTGCACATGTCACATGAAATGCTCGATAACAACTAGATTTATGACACTGTATACAAGCACCAACATTGCGTTGTTTACAAATGAAACACTGAAGACGCCATCTACAGAAAATGAAGATTACTATTGATGTGAACAAATTAAAAGCTCCAATTCAATGCAAAAATACAACTGAACGCACTTGTGTTAATAAATCTGTTATTTCATCTAAAATTCCGAGGTAAACAAATTAGGAACTACTTGTAAATTTGAATATATTACAGAAGGAACATTCAGCTAGTCCTATTGAGCAATACTACCTTCCTTCCTAAAAATCTATAAAAAAATCCTTATTGAAGCTATAGGTCATTAAACTAGAATTTTAGTCAACATATCTAGTTGACCAATACTAATACATACTTACGCCTGTTATCCCTTGTGGAGGAGCATAGGCCACCCACCAGCATTCCCCATCCGAATCTGTCCTGGGCGATCCTTTCCGGTGGCTATTCATCATTTTCATGTCTGCTTCCAATTCCCGACGCAGTGTATTCTTTGGCCTTCCTCTTTTCTGTTTCCCTTCAGGATTCCAAGTTAGCGCTTGCCTCGAGATACAATCTGATGATTTCCTCAATATATGCCCTATCCACTTCCAAAGTCTTTACCTAATTTCCTCTTCAGTTGGAAGGTGGTTTGTTCTCACCCACAGTAGGCTGTTGCTGATGGTATCCGGTCAACGGACATCCACTATCATAAGTAAACAATTGTTTACAAATACTTGTACCCTTTTGATGATGGTTGTGGTAGTTCTTCCCGTTTCAGCCGAGTATAGTATAACTGCCTTGACGTTCGTACTGAAAATTCTCACGTTGATGTTGGTTGACAGTTATTTTGAGTTCCAGACATTTTTCAGTCATAGGAATCCGGCCCTTTCTTTGCCCTTACATCTGCCTCAAATCATCCATGTTCATGGATGATGTTTACCAGGTACGTAAAGTTTCTATATCTTCCAGAGTTTCTTTATCAAGCGTGACTTAGTCGGTGTTCTCCATGCTGTATTTCAGGATTTTGCTTTTCCCCTTGTGTATGTTGAGGCCTAATGATGCCGAGACTGCTGCTACACTGGCAGTCTTCGCCTACATTTGTTACTGTGTATCAGATACAAGGGCCAGGTCATCTGTGAAGTCCAAATCGTTTAGTTGCATCCAACCTGTTCATTGTATTAGGCCCCAAATGCCTTGGTACGGCCGAGAGTGGGGAGAGTCCGCTCTCCCTCTCGAAATGCTCTCACATGGCCACGCGTATACAGCCTCTGACAGGGAAGTCCTACTCACTGCCTTCTCGTGACGGGTGTTGCTTACGAAAATGAGAGGACGAAAAGCGAATGTCCGGCGCTTTAATCGGTTGGTGGACATGGAGAGTCCACCTAGGGGAGTTGGAAAACCCTGATTCCAAACGAATGGTGCACATGGGCTCCAGTATCCTGAAGGAACAAATGACGTATGAACCAATCGTTCGTCACCGGCTTCCATGGGACTGCATCTTCTGACGTTGCTCCACTGCCTTGTGAATCAGACCTTCAGGTCGAAGGCCCTGAATGTGGCCTCCTAAGAAAACCACCTGCTTCGGTTAGGGCGCCCGGGGAGTATAACATCCCTCACACATATCAGATGAGACTTGTGTGGTGCATATGTATTTGGTGCTTCATTGTACCAATATCTATGTGTTAAAATAAATAAATAATAAAATTGTATTCCGTGAGTCCCCTCATATGTTGAGGTCTTGATAATCCAGTCAACTACCAGAACAAATAGAAAGGGTGTGAGTAAGCAGCCTTGTCTAACTCCGGTCCTCACTTGGAATGCATCTATCAGCTGTCCTCCATGCACCACATTGCAGTGCAGTCCGTAGTATGAATTCCATATTATTTTGACGATCTCAGGTACACCATAGTTCGAAAAAGGCTCCACAAGGTTCTCCTACCTATACCGCCAAACGCTTTCTCATAATCAAGGAAGTTGATTTATAGTGACAAGTTCCATGGAGATGGTTGTTCGACGATAATCCGTAGTGTTGCGATTTGGTCTGTGCACGAACGATCCTTAAAGAACGCGGCCTGATGATTATTAACACATAATGAAATAATTTCCATGTTTAAGAAAACTACGGCCAATAAATTGTTCAATTTAAAATCAAGATTACGTGAAATGGAAGTAACAATTCTGATATTATTGTCAAAAAGCCAAACCTCTACTAACGAAATTCACAGACTGAAATAACAGCAAGGTTAAAGTATTATAAGCTTTTATCTAACAACAACACATAGTGTAAGCTAAACGCAGTCAATGCAGTGAAACGATACAGTTTCAATTGCAAGATTTGCTGCATAATTTGTAAAATGTTAAGTTGTTCAAAGTATTAAGTTGAAGTTAATAGTGCAACTTTCTGAAACTAAGATTCTTTATTAACCGGTACAAATTGCAAACCATGGTTATAGAGTGAGAAACTGAAAATTGAAAGATTAAAAAGTGAAAGTAGAACACAAAATAAAGAGATGAAGAGTTAAGTAATAATTAAGAGGAAGGACTTACGTGTAACGGTAACGTGTGACAGCAATTTATGGTTTAACACTGGCCATACTGCTAAACTTAATATACTGAACGAAACGAAAGAAATTTGTGTAAAGGGAGTGACAAATATACTTTCAAGAAGTTCTGGCTATTTCAAATCTTGTATATTTCTTAGAGAACTTTAATGCCAATAACAGAGAACTAAGAGTACTATGTTATAAGCTAATATTTCCTAATTCTTCATCGTCAATACAAGACAAGATCAATTAAAATCTTCACTACTTGTAAAAATCATCATATTATCACCATAATCCATTATGACGAATATCCGTCACAAACACCTAATTCAATTTAATTATTCATCTTACGACATTAGCCTTGATAAGACAATTCTTTTTAACTGGCTTTTACTGTGTGATAAAGTACGAAGAGAATATAGATATTGGCAGTGTAGCTCAAATAAGAAGTGAAAACTCACTCAACATATCAAGATAACAATATCGGTAGGGAAGTATCCATAATGATAAAAATTAAGTCAAAAATAATAAATAATGCATTTCTACAAGTTTACTTATGACTGAAAATCAACATGTTAACTTATATACTAAACCAACCTGGCTGTGGCAATTCTGTCGATGCCTTCCAGTGGTTCAAGGAATGTCAGATTAGCAAACATCACTTCAGGTACCCATAACCCACATATGACATGAGCCCAACGGTCATCTGTAGTTTTTTTGAAGGCACCACCTCTATTCGGACAAAGGACACATGAAACTGGTTCACTTGGTGAATGAAGGCATTTACGACACAGCCAAGGACCTTCAGGGACATAAGGAACTCCATAACATTCCTAAAAATAAAAGTGGAACGAGTACTGGTAGTAAACATACTTTTAACTAAACTCATTACAATTCGTATGCTCGAACACTATTACATAGTATTATGATGTGGCATATTGTCCCTATATCTTAAAATATTTCAATATTTAATTTAAAGGAGTCAGGGGACGAGGTCATTTTGTGATAATAAACCTAGTGACTAACCGCTATATGAGTATTTAGTAACGAGCCAATTTGACAACTGTAAGTGGTTATTGAGATATGTATTTATTTATTCCATTAATGTTAGTCTTAATGTACTACGATATTTGGGACATGTGTTACATATTTCCAGCAATAGCCCCAGGATCCTGAGGGAACGAATAGAGTACGAACCTACTCTCCGCCACATAATTTCAATTCGTTCATTTATGTAAACACAAACATTGGTGCAAAGAGGCACCAAGATATATGTGCACCACATAAAGTAAATATCATTCAATTTGTGTATGAACTAGGATACTGTCTGGGTGCCCAAACCGAAGCATTTGGTTTCTTAATGGGCCATTCCCTGAGACTTTGGCAGAGAGGTCTAGTCCACAAGGCACTGGAGCAACGCTAGATGAGATTCCATGATACCTAAAGATCAATAATAGATTCATACACCATTTGTCTCCTTCGGATGCCAGAGCCCATGTGAAACGTTGGTTCGAAATCAAGGTTTTCTAACTCCCCTAAAGGATCTTCCGAGAGCGGGTTCTCCCAACCTCGACCGTATCAGGGCATGAAACCGCACCTCCCAACGTTGCTCCAGTGCATTATGGATTAGACCCATCGGTCAAAGTCTCAGGAAGTGGCCCATTAAGAAACCAAATGCTTCGGTTTGGGCACCCAGACAGTATCCTAGTTCATACACAAATTGAATGATATTTACTTTATGTGGTGCACATATATCTTGGTGCCTCTTTGCACCAATGTTTAGTGTTTAAATAAATAACTATCACTGGCGATGTTTGCTGGTGTAGTAATACGTTGGAAAAAAGGTAGGGGAGGTCAAAACAGAAGGTGGCATCAGTTCATAAAGTTATTGACTGCTAATTTGATCCATACTAGTACGTGCATACTAACTGGTTGGGGTCCAGGAGATTGTCATGGCAAATAATTGGAGACGACGAGTGGCATGATTCAGAATCAGCCACGGTAGTGCAAATATATCCTCCTTTATGTTCTTTTAAAAAGTGAGTTTCCAAACTATTTTATACCTTAATTCCGCGAATCAATTCTTTCTTCTCGAATTATATTCTCTATACCTAATTTTTCTTTTAATATCACTGATATTACTAATTAGGTATTCGTTCTGACAACTTTGTATCGTTTCGCTTATGAGTTGTGGCAACTGGAACAAATGAACATAGGTCCAAAGCTGACCGATGACACCATAAGACGTAATTGGCATACTAGCATGTTATTATGCATATTTATACGTTTCATTCCAAATAGTTAAGGATGGTATAAGGTTAGAAAACTAATAAGTACTGCTCCCTAATGAAGGTAAATGAAATTTTTAAAACAATTATGTACCTAGTTACCAGAACACATATTTGAAGCGTTCTGCAAATTATCAAAGTAACAGTAACACAAAGTCACCTACTCACTATTAAAGAATCACTAAAAACAGATCCTAACGAACATCGAAAAACATCAAAAATATTTGTAAAATATGGCTAGAAAATCAAGGTTGATAACTAAGAGGCCGTCAAAAAGTGAAGGTGGAACTTGTAATCAAACAGTTGGATGAAGATGAACATGAGACAAAATTAAGAGTTCGTTATACCATGAAAATCACCCCCCCCCAAAAAAAAACATATATGCGCCACTGCTATAATGTAAGTACATGAAGTTTCTTTTTTCGTACAGTTTATTGAGTATAAGCCCCCGAATGCCCTGGTACGGCCGAGAGTGGGGAGAGTCCGCTCTCCCTCTCGAAATACTCTCACACGGCCGCGCGTATACAGCCTCTGCCAGGGAAGTCCTACTCATTGCCTTCTCGTGGCGGGGGTGTTGTTTACGAAAATGAGAGGACGAAAAGCGAATGTCCGGCGCTTTAACCGGATCACAAACCAATGGTGCACATGGGCTCCAGTATCCTGCGGGAACAAATGGCGTATGAACCAATCGTTGGTCACCGGCTACCATGGGATTGCATCTCCTTACGATGCTCCACTGCCTTGTGGGTTAGACCTTTAGGTCAAAGGCTCGGGGAGTGGCCCCCTAAGATAACCACCTGCTTCGGTTTGGGCACCCGGGCAGTATCACAGCCCACACACAAACGATGAACTCTATGTCTATGGAAACTACTTTTCTCGCTCCGAAAAACAATCAATCGATTCAAATATTATCATTACTATTATTGTCATTATTAATACTATTATTATTACTATTATTATTATTATTATTATTATTATTATTATTATTTTCCACATTATTCACCCTCTTTTATACTTATACAGCGGCTCGTCTTTGGTGGAAATCCGACTGTATCTAAACGTTCTCGAGTCACTGTCCGGTTGAAAATTGTATGTTACCACCGAATACGAGGACTGAAGCAGTTTTTCTGAAACCACGTGCACCATTCAAACTGGCTGCCTTCAACGTTCGCACATTTATGCAGGTCGGACAACAGATAGGGCTGGCTATGTCTTTGGAAAGTCTTAATATTGACTTTGTTGTCTATCCGAGACCCGTATTCAAGACTCTGGCGAAGTACTACAAATTCGATCTCCATCTGTCGCTTCGAAAAGCTTGTTTTACGTGCGCTTATCCGGGGACCCTGTGGCATCTTCGTCTGGTCTTGCTGGCGCTCAAAACGAAAAAAGCGCTAGAGCTGAGGCAGCACTAGTCGATTGGATCCCCATTAACAGTCGGTTATGTGCTGTTAGATTAGAAAGTTCCATCAAAGTGAGAAGAAATCGGCGTGAGAAACGATGTCTTTTCGTCATCTCCGCCTATGCCCCGACAGATTGCAGCCCGGATGCAATCAAGGATGAGTTTTACCACCAGTTATCTGTTCTTCTCCAGAAAGTGCGTTCGACAGATATTGTAGTACTAGCCGGAGACTTGAATGCTCAGGTCGGGCGTCTAGGCACAGAAGAGAGTCGTTTAGGTGGCCGATGGGGACTCGTTGGTCGCAGGTCAGATAACGGGGACCGTCTACTGCAACTGTGCACAGACCACAACCTGTTTCTGGCTAGCACTAACTTTCGGCACAGTCATCGCCGATGTGCCACCTGGCGTCCTCGCTCTGCATCTCAAGCCTGGACTCAGATTGATCACATCGCGATCAGCTACCGCTGGCGTGGTTGTGTACAAGACTGCCGCTCCTTTTGGAGTACCTATCTGGACTCTGACCATGCCTTGGTCTGCGCCAATCTTGCCTTACTTTTCAGTGGACAACGAAGTGACCACCACCAAAGGATTGATGTTAGCAAGCTGGTTGCAACTTCTGTTGCAAGTAAGTATCGAACCGAGCTAGCCTCTAGGCTAGCTACCACTCCACCGAAAAGTATAGATGAGCATTGGTTGCAATTGCATGACGCCATGAAAATGGCGGGAACAGTCAGTTGTGGGTTTGCGAAACGTCCCGCTTTTAAGCACTGGGTTTCTTCTGGTTCCTTACAACTCATTGAAGCCCGTCGGTCTACTCCGGGTGACCGTGAGTTTGACCATAAACGAAGGATGTTACGTAAGGAAATTGGGCAAAGCTTGCGTAAGGACCGAGAAGCCTGGTGGTCGAAGCGTGCTAATGAGCTGGAAGCAGCAGCTGCATCTGGTAACTACCGGAAGCTCTTCCAGCTCATCCGAGCCACTGGCAGCAAGAAGTCTGGTGTGAGTGAAACAATCTGCGAGGATGATGGGATGCCAATCACTAACATCCATCGACGTCTTGGACGATGGGCAGAATTTTTCGAAGGGCAGTTCAACTGGCCTGCTGCTCCGGCAACATCGGTCAGACTGTCCTGCCCTCCATGGCCGGTGACGACTGACCCACCTCCGGCTCTTTTTAAAGATGGTGGTGACTTTTTGACTAAGGAATTGACGACGTTGTTTACAAAGGTTTGGGAACTAGAGAGTGTACCAACGTCATGGAATGAGTCGATAGTTGTCCCTATCTTTAAAAAGGGTTCACGTCGTTCCTGTAACAACTATCGGGGGATAAGTTTACTTCCGATTGCGTCCAAGCTATTGGCTTCCGTCATTCTTCGTAGGTTGTTCAAAACCCGAGAAAGATTGACTCGCGAGGAGCAGGCTGGGTTTCGTTCTGGTCGAGGATGTATTGATCATATCTTCACCCTCCGCCAAATGTTAGAACACCGCCATACTTATCAAAGGCCAACAATCGTAGTGTTTCTTGACATCAGGGCTGCCTTCGATTCGTTGGACAGGACTGTTCTCTGGGATTGTCTATTGAAGAAGGGTGTGCCTGAGAAGTTTATTAACATCCTGAAAGCCCTATATAAAAACACCTCAGGCAGAGTGAGGGCATACAACCACCTCTCTCCATTGTTCCATTCGAGCAGTGGGGTTAGGCAGGGTTGCCCAATCTCACCATTCCTCTTCAACTTTGCCATCGATGACATTCTGGAAACAGCTCTGATGAATGTAAGTAATGGTGGTGTGGATCTGTTGCCTGGAGAAAGACTTCTCGACCTTGAGTATGCGGACGATATTGTCTTACTGTGCGATAATGCCCAAGGCATGCAATCCGCACTTAATCAGTTGGCAATCAGTGTCCGTAGGTATGGTATGTGCTTTGCACCTTCGAAGTGCAAAGTACTTCTACAAGACTGGCAGGATTCTAATCCTGTACTCACCCTGGATGGTGAGCAGATAGACGTAGTCGAGAAGTTCGTGTATCTGGGTAGCTGCATAAGTGCTGGTGGGGGTGTGAGTGATGAGATCAATGCACGAATAGTGAAAGCCAGAGCGGCTTATGCCAATCTGGGCCATCTTTGGCGCCTTCGTGATGTTAGTCTGGCTGTAAAAGGTCGGATCTACAACGCGTCGGTGAGAGCAGTTTTGCTCTATGCTTGTGAAACCTGGCCTCTCCGAGTTGAGGACGTTAGACGACTCTCTGTGTTCGATCATCGCTGTCTCCGAAGGATTGCTGACATTCAGTGGCAACACCATGTCAGTAATGCAGAGGTTCGGCATCGTGTGTTCGGGCACAGAGATGATAATTCAATTGGTGTCACCATCTTGAAACACCGACTTCGGTGGCTTGGACATGTTCTCCGAATGTCGTCCCAGAGAATTCCACGTCGTGCATTATTTGCCGACTCTGGGACTGGTTGGAAGAAGCGGAGAGGTGGTCAGTGCATGACATGGTGTCGTGGCATGAAAGAAAGCTGCAAAGGACTGGCTTGTGTTGGTCCTTCACGACTCCCTGGTTGGGGTCCGAGAGATGGTGCTACACAGTGGCTAGAGACGTTATCAGATATGGCTCAGAATAGAAGCCAGTGGCGATCCTGCTGTAACCTTCTTTTACTTTCTTCATAAAAAGTGGTTGTGTCTCCCTTACCTGAAAGATTTCTTCCGATTGTACCTTTGCGTTCCCTGATTACTAGCACATTACCTTACACCAATCTCTTCGTTATTGTTCTCTCCTTTTTTGTTGCGCTCCTTAGCTTTTTTTTCTTTCTTTGTATTCCTCTCGAATTTTCATTGTTTTGTGTGGCGCATATATATTGGCGCTCTCTTGTACCAATATTCATGTGTCCAAATAAATAAATAAATTGAGTATAAACTGGTTGATGCACATTCATGAGGAAGCAATCAAATATGAGCGTATAATCTTATTCACGGAACTAAATGTCCCCAAATCATTGGATGCTTAGATAATTTTAAGAGTATATAAAGTTTAGCGAGTTAACAACAAACAAAATGGTTTAATCGCATTAAATATAGTGACTTCATCATAATGCAATGAAGTGGACACAGTTCTGATGAAATAGACAAATATTTAGAATGGAAAAAGATTATAACGTACCTGATGTACGGCTAAGTTGCAAACATCACAAAATAATATAACATTCGTATTTTCGCAAGTCCCGTCCTGACACACAGCACATACAGCATCTTCATCGATACCTGAATGGTTGCCGCCAATATCAGGGAAAACGTCTGTCGTTTCACAACCATTTGAAGTAAACAACCGGAATCTGGCCTTTTTTTCAAATCTGTCCATAATCCATTCCAGAGTAGATTCAGAGACAGGTGGTAAAGATAGACTATTGCGTTTAGCATTGATCCTTTTAAGCCAAAAAAGATCCTATACAGAATAAAGAATTAATGCCATATGTGACGACTAAATCAAAGTATTAGGCTTTAAAATTCAGATACTTTATTGATACAGGTCGTCTTGACCTACGAAAGAAATGGTAACTAGGTTAAGGTAAAATATCGGCAAAATCATGCAACGTTTTACAGCTTAATGTAGCTTTTTGCGGTATCAAAAATAACACTGTTTTGCAATACCATCTTATACTATGGAGCTGTAGGATAGTGGTAAAGTCACTCGACTTTCAACTACTAAGAGTTAGGTTCGAGCCCTGCTTTACCTACTTCGATAGCATCACTAGCCTTTACACCTAGAGTGTGGCTCATAATCAACTACCTAGGGAACGGGTTGATCCGATTTTCTAATTTAAGTATCATTTACACAGTTATTTGGTAATAAACCTATTTGATAGTTGAAGAGACTATGTAACTTTCTTACGTCAGTCTTATTTAAATTATGCTAGAAATTAGGATGATTAAAATCGCACTATATCATTTTGTTCGGAATAATTATTTTAGCATAGTACTCATCACTGGTTAACGTAAATAATACACTAACTTCAATAATTTATTAAGATAATATTCTAAAAATATTTACTTTAGTAAAACTAGGTCTATGTGAGATCAGATCAAGTTTACTATAAGACTGCAAGTGTACACCTTATAGTAGATTTGAAGGGAATTAGAATTTCTAAAACAATCACCAAGATAAACATGAGATTTTTAAATATACAAATCAATAACTTGTGATATAAAACAAAACAATGATCATCACTGATATTTATTCACAAGTAAATAACAAGCTGGTTGGTATTTGTTCGTATATTAGCCCATTAAGAGGACAGACAAATAATACAGTTGACTTTTATGACATTAAAAACAACTGCGAATAACAACAAAGTCACAAAAAACCCCTTTTCTTATTAAGTGGTTGACATGATTTGTATCCTGATATAAAATTTTCATGAAAAAGGTTTTTTCTTGTGGATGCCGGCTCAGTGGTCCAGTAGGTTAAGCGTTCGTGTACGAGACTGAAGACCCTGAGTTCGAATCTCGCGAGCGGGATCGTGAATGCGCACTGCTGAGGAGTCCCACAATAGTACGAAACGGCTGTCCAGTGCTTCCATGTTTCAAACGGTCAGTCAGTCAGCTACAACGTAGGACCAGGCACAAACGGTGGTCTAACATCAATCGGTTCATGATTTCAATCAATAAGAGAATCAAGTAGTTGAAAAATATGTGTAAATCAGCTTACGAAACCATACGTTTCCATTAACACAAAATATATCTACAAATATCATATTTACCTCTTCATCTAAATCATACTCAACAACTTCATCCAATTCATCTGATGTCTTTTCAATAAAACGAATATAACTTGAACCTTCTTTTAAACGAACGGACTTTCGAATAGAAAATTCTGGATCAATTGAGTAAACTGCCTTTGGTACTCAATAACATTGTTCACTTCTGTGCCATTTGTATAGAGGGAGCCTTTCCCACATAGATCAGACTGTTGTTTATCTGAAAATTGTCCTATAGTCAAACCACTTTTGTTATTCTTAATGCGACCCTTGTTTTTGTGATGAAGCATTTTACTTCTACTAGATGGCTGCTTTTTGTTAATTGGAACCCCTTCAGGTTTAGATAACGCTTGGGCTGAGGTGCACGAATTTTTGTCTTCTACCTTGTTTGACATATTTTGCAAGCAAATGGTAAGAGGGACGCATATGTTACAGCGAAAAGTGTGACCTTTGGTGGCTGGAGAAGCTTCAAAAACAACAAAACTATGAGCATCAGTAAAAGTCATAGGGGTTTTGCTTTGTTGTCGACATAAATTTTCGGTTGGATGACCAACAACGATTGGCGCATTTCCAATCTGATCAGAACCATTCTCTAAAGCAGACGCACATTTAAAGTTGCTAGAAACTTCACCATTTACAAGTGGTCCAGGAATATCTATTGGAGCGGGAGGGCGATGGAGAAGCATATGTTTTTGCATATAGTTGTATGATCTGCAAACTTTCTGGCATGTTTCTGATGGGCACACAAAGGGGGGTTTGTTGCCCTGAATTCTTGAGAGGAAGTCATCGATATCAAAGTCAACGGGATGGTAAACCATCTAGAAAGGAAAATAGCTGTTTCAAGAAACAAAAACAAACCATTGGAACATGGCACTTAACATTCCTACGAAAGCACAGGCTACTTTACGAAATTTAAATGAAAAAACAAGGGTGCATAAATGAAGGGAATGCAAAAAGAATAATAGCAATTTATCGACAAGAAAGCAAGTACTGGAAAAATGTTGAACAGCTAAGTATTATTTGACAGTTACAAAGATGTCAAACCCTGGATTTGAAGATTTCAAAAGTGATTTGGTGATGTTATAACTATCGGTCCATGCATTTGTACAAATGTGCTCAATTACATATCACATCAATCGAGATCTAAAACTACTGACATTTCAGACAAAACAGAACATTCACGATGCTTATATAACTACAAGACTTAAAACCCCAACCAGTGCCTCTGTGAACTGTTTTGATAAATCTATATATTGACTTGCGTCAATGCCTAAAATAACGAGTGAAGTGGTTGGATACATCGGTCAACTCATCTATTTCGGGAGTTTCATCGGTCCTGATGCTCTGGTATCTGACGAAATCTCGGCAAAGATTCAGAAGTGTCAACTGCCTTCCGTCGACTTGCGTCACTTGTAACCTAGGTGAGATATCTGTCTTACAACCAAAGAAAGACTTTACTGCGCAGCAGTTTGATCCATCTTATTTTACGGGTGTGAAACATGCACATTAAGGATGGATGCTATTCGTAGGTTACTAGTATTCAATTATAGGTGTCTTCGAAGCATCACTTGTGTATTTTGGGGTCACAGAGTAAGCAATGTCTGGGTTAGAAGTGGAGTACTAGGTAAGGATGACAAATCGATTATTGAGGATGTAAATCTTTATGAAGTCACTGAAATTGGACTTAGCCATTTTAATAGGTGTAGATTACCTGATTGGAGTCCGCGTGATTATCGTTACCAATAGTCAGAGGCTTTGAATGACATGACTCAAAATCGTTTGCAATGGCGTAGGTGCATGCATTCTTTATCTTCCTCCGAATTCTAATATTCTGAATTCCTCATAACTGTTTTTGTGTTTTTATGTCACTGATTTATAATTTCTTGAATTGTATCATTGATATCTAGTCTTTCCAATCAACATTTATACTGTTACTACCTTTACTATTATGGGATTCGGTGTGACACTTTCATCTCTGTGCTAATGAGGTATGGCTACTTGAACTGATGTACATACGTGCCAGGTTCTACGTTGTTACTGGCTCAACATATTCCTACTTCTTATCTTATAAGACCATACATCAACCAGTATGAAAAATCAAGACAAACAGCAACTCGAAGTGCACAGTATATACGAGGCTTTCAGACGTGCTGAGATTTCATCAGTGACAAGATGATCGGGGTTGATGTGACAGCCTAGGCAAACAAATATACATATTTCATACACCCAGATTTCTTGACAGATTTCAAAGAGAAAGAACAATAAAGTTTTCAGACCTTGTCCTTGCTTTATTTAAATATAAATATCGTAAGATGCTGTAGGTAAGTATATTGGTTGGTAATACCGCACTTGGAAACAGCGAAGAGGGATAGTAAAGAAATGGAGATAACAGTGCCAACAGTAGTTGAACAGCGAGGATAGAGAATAAGGTAAAAAATATGGAGAAACCCAATAATTTCAACTACAAGCACCAGGACCTTGTATAAGTTCCCACCAGAAGACAAACAAAGGATGTACTTGGCCAAAGCAGCCAATCATAAGTAATGCTCCTCGAGGTCATCAAAAATAGACCATCCTTACTTGAATGAACCTATCCAGCTTTTAGAGTTAGTGAAGTGGTCTTTACAGTGGGATAGTGAACTTTACATTACTAAACTAGGTGTTGGTACAGATAAGTTGGGGGACGGCAGTATTGGACATTCTCGTGACTAACAAACATCCATGTGTTCAGATAAAATCAAGAACAGAATGATCGCCTGTCATTAAAATCACTGAAAAAGATAATAGAGACGATATTTTGAAAAAAGAGTTCTGCACTTAATGTTAGGTTGAAAATTCTTCAAGAACAACTGCCTTTGTACATGTTATGAAAAGAACAAGCAAGCACTTTTTCCTGTCAAGACTCTTCAGAAACGAGGGCACATTCTTTGGCTTTTGATAGGAATAGCTATTTACTGTTAATGCAGCTATCAACATAAAAAGCCATCTTCAAAATATTACGAAGTCCGAAGACAATTTAAACTATCCGAAACAGTAACATCCGTGTAACCGATCATGCAAAGTTAAACGACCCTCAAAAAAAGAACATCTTATTTCCATATCTTATTCATCAAGGAGTAATCTCCTGTTACTAAACATATTCAGGTACTAATCCAAAACTTAGTATTTAAATCACATTTTCAGTCTAATTTCTTTAGACCTATGGTATCAGATGGACGAAAAGGCTTTGAGTCAAATACGATTTAGGCTTTTTACACCTGAATCTGGTCATGAACAATAAAAGCTTTAAGAACTGACCTTTCAAATTCCATGGAACCATATGTTCAATAAGTACCGTACGAATTCATAAATACCGCTTCTGAAGAAAAAAAGTAACTTTCCAATATCCATTGTTTATGCAACGAATAGTTGTGTATCAAATAAGAAGAGCTATTGCTTTAACAATTGATTATTTAACATAAAAACCTGGTGCCTGGTAGATGAGACCTAGTGAAATGGCTCAGTGACCGAAAATATTTTGTATATTCGTTGAAAGACTGATAATCAGACTCTGGGAATGGAGTGCAAATACCCAGTCAGACAGTTGAAGTTTTTGATCTAGTTCTCCTAAACCTTACTGTATTCATTGAAAACATTTTCAACAAGAGCATATGCCCTTATACTGTTCATAATTCTTATAGACGTCATTTAATAACTGTAAAACAAATTCAGAACTAATCAGAAATGGTACCAGAAACATACTTTGGGGCTGGAGAACACGATTCCTCTGACATTACAGGTGCATCTTTCCAAATTCTTCCACCTAACCAGTCGTTTGGAGATCTTCTGCAGCCAGAAATAAATGTCACATTTCCCTGATATCAAAGGCGGATGATCTCACAAGAAAATAATCGGTAAAAGTTTTCTCAAAATCAAATAGATCAGAATGAAATATCAGCCTCGTTTAACTGAGCCTATGAAACACAAAATTAGATTTTTGTACACCATCATAAAAAGAGAGTCACATTTCGAGATAGACCTGAATCGGGACTTTCCAAGCATACAAAACTTCCAAACGCGAGCTTTTCAAGTGGTTGGCTAAGGTCTCCAAACCTGGTTGCTTCTAATGAGGAGTATTAATACCCATGGATCTCTAGAGATCCATAGGGGAGCTCCCCTGACCTATTTTATATTAATCGCAGCGGTGGAGATTTTTCATCTTCTTGGACCAAAGAGATCATGAAACAGTTTAACCCTTAAAAATATACATGATTTGATGGCATCCAAACTAGGTTCTGGAACGAATGTGCAGACTTGCTTTACTTCTACTGCTTCAAATTGTTCATTTCTTAGGCCAAACTGCCTTCTGAAAAGGAAAAAGTTGTAAATGTAACTTCATATACGAGGCAAGAAGGTTGTACTTAGCAACCATGGGCTTTTTGCTACATAAAGGCCATAGAATCTCTAAAATAAATCACATAAACTTAACATGTTGACCAGATGGGATAGCTGGACATCATCATCCTGAGCATCCATGACACCCCGTTTCTCAAAGGGTTTAGACATAGTCAGTCATATAATTCTGCATTTGAAACCAAAACCACTAAATATATGTGCTTGCTCCGTATTTTTTGGTTTGATTTATATTGTAAGGTAGGTACTGTGTAGTCAGTGGAATATTATTATTATTCACAAAAATCTCATGTGTACATTAATGTTTTGAAGTAACCACTCTGGGTTTCTTCAAAAAATGCAATAATACACAGGTTTAAATAATGTTAGCATTATATTTGCCATATTTGAAAAAGAGGAAAAATAATAATGATGATGATAGAATAATAATGGTAAACCAGGTTTTGTGTAATTAATAAGAATATTGAGTTGACGTTAAGGAAGGGAAAGGAGAAAATAAGATAATAGAAATAATTGAGACGTGGAGTATACAAATAGTTTATGATCATAGAACAAGAATAAACGACTATGTATGTATCATCAAATTAGTAACAAAAATAAAATAGAAAACAATCGAGAAAAAATAACTTGTCATTGCAGTAAGGTATTATATCAGAATAAATGTGCACTCATAGTTTGGAGTGATGCTATGGAAGTCTCAAATAAGTGAAGAGGATAACCAAATATCAATATGTATGAGTCATATATTCATGTTCTTTCGAACATTACTTTCAAACTCACTGGGGTATAACAAAAAATATATTTATTAATAACTCCCTATCTAAAGGTATGTTTAACTGAAAAGCAGTGATCAAACTAATTATTATATTCAAATATTTTCTATATTTTGACATTTTACTTGAACATCCAACTACATCCCCTTGTTGTATTACGTTTCTCGCAGTTCATTTCTTTCTTCGGATTGACGTACGTATAGTACCTCACAACGAATGTTGTGTCCACTCATATGTTCTATTACTTATCACAGATTAATTTGACTTATAAAGGTTGCCGTCCAGTTTGTTCAGATCATACTACTAACTATGTCATGGCCGATAGTACTTGCGAAAAATCTAAATCTTCCACTGAAGAGAACTAAATAAAACCATTTAAAGGCGGTGGCCAATCTACAATATGAACTTGGGCATGACCTCTCCATTTCTTGTATCTTACTTATGGGTGTAAATAAAACGATCCCTAAACCATGTGACTCGACATCATCTGTTACTCCTTGTGATCCACCTAAGATTTACACCTGCTTTGAGCA